TTGTTTTGTAATTGGCTCTTAGTGATACCCATCTTAATAAGGTAAAAATGTTTTTATACATTGAGAGAAGAGAGGATTAAATTTTGGTCTCCTAGCGTTACACGTGCACAGTGTGTCTTTGTTTGGCGGTGACCGGATAGCCAGAGAAATGTTGGGTTATTGTTGCCCTTGAGATGACGTCATCCGCCCATTTTCACAGGCCTGTACACCATCTGACCTTCTCTTTCATTTTGAACATGACATGGCAGTGTGCGAAGTGCTTGCAGCCTTTAACTAGCCATCTTCTCTTCCTTGGGTCTCCGTGAATGCAGGTTTGTTGTAATTCTCAGTATTAAAAGGACTAAAACCTGGATATGTAATTTAGCTCAGCGAATTTATGGCTTTGTGAATCATCAATGCTAATATTGGACTATTCGGTTTCCTCGTGTGGCAGTTCTCTTAAGCTCTCTTAACTTGACGACATTTCACAGAGATCAGCAAAGCTGTGCGGTACTCGTTTTTCTGATCGAGTCTCCCGCTCAATGCGGGAGGCCTGAGCTCTCCATAGTAGCCAGTATACAGTGTGTATTACAGCGGTTATGTTTGACTACCGCTGTAAACTAAACTCCTTAGTACGAAGCGAAAGAAGTCAGATTGTTTCAGAACCATCTAAAGATAGCTCTCAGAAGCTGAGTTGAAATACATTCTTTTGAGTGAAGCTCAATTTTAAAGCAGTCTCTTGTAGTTCGGGATATTGCATCTAACGTCTTCAATATTCAAATTTCAATTGTCACGAACAGACTGACACGGTATGGGAAGCTCGCTACAGTCAGGGGCACCCAACGACCGTTTTCTCTTGAGTGCTTTTAAACACTGTTTTAGGCTATCTGGAGTACTTTTAAAGTTCTGTAGGTTAATTTTAGGTTGCGCTAAAAAAAAGTTGTCTGTTCGGTTATTCTAGGGGAACTTGAGTATTCTCGAATTTATTAGGGCTTTTTTGTCCATTTCCCGAATCGCCTTTACGAAAATGATAGCTGACCTTTTTTCGGTACCCAGAACGACAGTTTTAACAATCCGAAAACAAAAGACATTAAATTTCTCATATCACGAAAGTTTGAGATGACAATTCTCTTAAGAAAATCAGAGGGGATTAAAGGCCTTCTGAACAGATAATTTACCGAAACGATCCATTGGGTGCCCCTGTACAATTTGTTTATTTACCCGTTCAGAGTGATCATTGATCACTTATACCTCTGTTACTCATCGAAATCAGTAGAATCTATAATCAGCATGTTTCATCGGAAAAGAAACCTTGTTGGGATTCATTCTTCAGCCGCTGATTTATTTCTTATGTCAGTGACACGATTTCATCGTTGTAAGAACTTTTGATTAGGAGTTGTTTTGAGCGTGGCGGAATGCGTCTGATATTTCCAACTGCAAGAAGCGCATTGTACAGGGTGGAAAGTACTACAGTAATTCTGCTACAATAACATTTATTCAAACGTGTGATTATTATGTCCTTAATAGACGAATCACAAGACAAAACGTGATTTAAGGTTTT